AAACCTTCTTAGAAGTAGAAGTGATCCTAGTTAACTGAGACATCTTCTCAGTTAAACGGCTAACCAGATTGGCAAAGAAGTTAACCTTGCTCGAGAAATCTTGACTTTTACTTCTAGTCGTGAGTTTACGACACCTAGGTCTTGTGTGTTCCAGTGCGCCACAATGGTGATAGGTGGGAATAAAACTAGGTTCAAAATTGTTTGGAGGTTGTTGCTGATATGTCTTGATCCAAAGACATTCGTGCCCTTGAGTTCAGGATTAACAGTGTTCCGAGCTTTGTTGGTGGCTAGGATGAACGTGGTTTTGGATGTACTAGCAGTTGCATTACCATTTTGAACGTAACCTAAACCATGCCTATTTCCAGTAGGCTTGTTCATTCCCAACAGATTATTGAGTTTCTATGTACCACTCATGAACGAATGAAGTTGAGTATTAGATTTTTCAAGATCACTTGTTAAGGATTTAACTTTGGCTTCTAAGATCTCATTAACAAGCATCAACTCATTTAGATTTTTGGTAGAGTCCTGCAGGTCACCTATTAGTCCCTCTCTCTCTCTTTCAAGTCCATTAACCTTTTTTCAGAATAGCTTTATTGACCTTTTGGATTTTAAGAAGACTCTCATCGAATAATTCTTAGTAAGACTCATGAATATTAGTCTCATTCTCAGACTCTTACTTAGATTTTTCACTAGGTTCTTCATTCTCAACCTTTTCACTTTCCTTATCAGATTCAATTGTAACTATAGATGTGAAGGCCATAATTTTTTGTTCATCCTTACCATCAGAGGTATCACTCTGGGTACTCGAATCTGATTCATCATTACTCAAGGTTATTGCTAATGCCTTACGCCTACCTTTATTCAAGTTCTTCCTCAAATTAGGACATTCATTCCTATAATAACCAAAATTCTGACATTCATGGCATCTAAGTGACTGGGTTTTCTTATTAGCAGTCCTAGAGTTATTCTTCTCACGCTTATCGTTCGAGAATTTACTAGGGACATCATTTTTCCGTTCTTGAGGTTTTCTCCTATTCCTCATCACCTTCTGGAATTTTTTAACGAAATAAGTTATTTCGTCGTCCCTAAAAGTCTCAGCATGAATTGACTCACTCTCTTCTTTCCTAACAGTGTTCAAGCTATGGATTTAGCCTTTTTTGGCTGTGATATGGTGAGTTCATAGGTTTGTAGGGATCCTATGAGTTCTTCTATCTTAACTGCATCTAAGTCCTTACTTCTTCAATCGCAGTGACTTTAGTTCTAAACTTTTCAGGTAGGGATCTAAGGACTTTTCTAACGATTTTTGACTCGAGGATCTTCTCACCTAGGTTAAAACTCGAATTAACTATATCATTAAACTTCGCATAGAATTCATCAAATGATTCATCGTCCTTCATTATAATTTCTTCTAACTTTGAGGTCAACATCTACAGTTTAGATTTTTTAACAGTTTTAGTTCCCTCGTGTGTGGTTTCTAATATATCCCAAACATCTTTAGCAGTTTCACACATTGAAACTCTCCTAAACTCTTCAGCAGAGACATCCATGAACAGGGCATAAATGTTCTTACTGTTCTAGGTACACTCAGCTAAGTCATCTTTAGTTCAAAGTGAAAAATCAGTGGGTGTAGCTACACTGGCAACAGTAGTTGAAGGTGCAGTCCACCCAATTTGAACGCTCATCCAATGCTTTAAGAAGCTCTCTTTCGAACTTTCCAATAAGTATAGTTGCTTCCGTCGAAAAAGGAGGCACGTGCAAGAACTGACTCATCTAGAAATAATTAAGGGTCAGGAATCGAAATAAGGTTCTGATACCAATTGAAAATACGAAGTTCGACCCAAACTACACCCAGAGGAGGTGAATATGTGATTATGCGGAACTAAAAACTTAATAATTAGTTCGCAATAAGTCACTATTAATTATCTCAAGATAGTTAATAATACAATTAATTTTTTTTATGTTGAAATATCGCAGTTATGAAAGCAATAAATAAACACAATAAATGATCACGGAGAAATTCTAATTGGGTAAAACCTTTGGACACTTTGCCAGTCAACAATCCACTATAAACGAAATAAAACTTACAGTCCACCAAACTCAACTACCACTAGTACTTTTTGACCTATTGACTGCAATTTCTGCATCTCTTCTAGATTTCGTGCTCCTACACCAACTCCCAATTGTAGTTTTCAAAGCTCTCCTGGATTGCGCTTTCCTGCAGCAACTCCCAACTTTGTGAATTCATCTATCTCCTATGGATTAATGAAAAATTCCGTGCTCTTCAATGACTGGAAGTCCAGTCACCTTCCCTTGATCTTCAAAACTCTGACAGATATGTAGGAAGTAGCAGTTTTGGTATTTGGATTGTAGATTTGATGTTTTCACCACCAGGAATCAATCACAGAACGAAAGTTGAAGGCTAATTTGATGAAGATGATATGAAGTGAATATGTTTTTCACAATGATCAACCTTGAAAAAATCGTTCAGATGCATTCTGTTATTTATATGTAGGTTATGGAATGGATGGACTGGATAAAAAGCCTTAAAAAATGAATTAAAAATTATCCGGATAACCCTATCGCTCGAGCGAGAGATGATCGACAGGCGAGCGACAATGTGCTGCTCAAGTGAAGCCCTGGAGATAGGCGAGCAATAGTGTTACTATTTCTGACGCTCGAGCCAAGTCATGGTGACAGTCTAGCGAAATTACAGCGCCATTTTTCCTTCTTTTCCATTCTCGAACCCTAGACCTAATATAACACGATTTCTACCATTTGCACATTATTCCTTGACTTTTACAACATATTACTTTTAGTCCATTTTGTTCACAGACTTGCCAATTACATCAAATACCTAACAAAATCTTTATGGGCGGCCTTTATGAAGCAAAAATATTTGACTAATGTGTTTGACAGTAGTAATTTCTCCATTGGCTTTCTCTTATGTGGTGGCAACTTTGTAATCATCTTCCTTTCATTCAGGAGCATAGTGGGTGGCAAGTAGGGAAATGTAATATATCTTCCTGGTTTGACAATTGGATGGGAGTGGGCTCTCTGGCAGATCAAGGCGGGCCTGTTATGGAACCTTTGAATAAATTAAATGAGGTTATGACTCATGGTGGATGGAATGAGATCATTCTTCGTTGGCTTGGGGTGCTAATTTGGTTTCTAGTGTTAAATCTCAACATGCACTTCTTAAAGCAAGACCAGACGTCTTTATTTGGTGTCCTATTACTTCAGGTATTTTTTCTACGTCTTCAGCTTGGCATTTGTTAAGGTGCAAAAATTCCACTTTTCTACCTTTCAAGATGATTTGGAACAAGGAGCCCACCGGTGAAGATTTCAGTCTTTCTTTGGAGGGTGTGAAATGGTATTATCCCTGTTGATAAAGTGATTAGTCATCGTGGTATTTCGCTAGTTTGCTAGAGTCACTGCTGTGCTAATGCTCGAATAGAATATATCGATCACCTTTTCCATTCCAGTGAAGTAGCAATGCGGTTTTGGTCTCATTTTGCCTCGCTTTTTGGCGCCCGTATTGCTAACAATAATAATAATTGGCATTCGTTTCTCACAATTTGGATGGTTTAGTTTCAAGGAAATTCTCAGGTCCAACTCCTTGGTCTATTGACTCCAGCAGTAATCTCATGGGAAATTCGGCTTGCAAGGAATAATGCTAAGTACAATGGTGATACAATGTCTGTTGATAAAATTTGTTGCAAAGTGCATCATTGCTTGGTAGAGCTTAGCTCCCTCATTTGGCCATCAAAAGCCAATCCTCCCAGCTTAAAAGAATCTTTGTATTGGCTTGGTATTCCAGAGGCATCATTGCGTGTTAGGACTCCTTTGCTTGTCCGCTGGTGTCCTTCGAAGAATGGAGTCCTTAAATTGAATATTGATAGCTCTAGCTTGGGTGATCCTGGTAAAGCTGGAAGCTGTGGAGTATTGAGAGATTGGCTTGGTAAGTTGATTTTTGGTTTCTCTCATTACATTGGCGTGGCAACAATTCTACAGCCGAAGCTTGTGCTCTAAAATTGGGTCTCTATTATTGTTATCTTATGGGTGTTAATAGAGTTTGGGTGGAAACCGACACTCGGGGTGTGTTTGAGCCACATTATTTTGGAATAATATATTTTGAAACAGTAGATTGATGGACAATGTGTGATTGAAAAAGAAAGAAAAATTATTGATGTGATGAAAAATATTATTTTATTGAAGAATGTGATTGAAAATGAATAGAAGAATGAGGATGAAAATTTTAATGTAATTCAAACATGGGCCCAATTATTGGAGCATTGGTATAATGGGCCTGGAGCACCTCTTTGTTCACTCTATAATATTTGGGGGGGATATAATGGAGTTGGCGGGAGTATTTGGATTTAAAAATTAGTCATGTTTATCGCGAGGCAAATATAGTGATTGATTCTTTATCAAAGTCAGGTGCGAGTGGTTTTTCTCAATTTGTTACTTGTATCCGAGATTCGCCTAAGGCTTCTATCGGTTGTATTGTCTTGGACTCTAGCGAAATTCATACTTTTCGATTTCATTAATTATATTCACGGTTTTCCTTCGCCACAAGTAATGGTTCCTATTAATTTTGGAGTTTCCATTAATATATATATGTTTGATTCATAAAAGAAATTTTTATATTTATTTGAATACTTTTCTATTAGGATTAATAGGAGAAAAATCCCCCTAAAACGTTTTCAATTACGACATACCCCCGTTTGAAACATTTTGTGCAAAAACCCCTTTCCATCAACTTCCATTAGATTTGCAGTTAGAAATAGTAAAAAATACCAAAATTAAAAAGGATAAATTGCCATTTCAGTATCCAAACATTTTTTCTTTACAAATTAAATCAATTTTTTTTATATGTGCCATCTATCATTCCAAATTCATGCAAAAATCAAACAATCTTCAAATTTATTCCAAAAACTCCAAAAATCACACAAATGGAACAGAAAACAATCTTTATAATAAATTACCTCCAGCAATCCGTTTCAGCTTAGGAATTCTCCAGTACACCGGCATTTTGGCACCTTCGAACCCCTTTCAGACTCCAGGTCCCGACGTGAATTTCTGACCCCTCTTTCTAAATCCACAGCTGCCCCCTTGTCCAACAGCATGACCTCTTCCCTTTCTCTTCGCCTTCTTTCGAGACCTGGGTTGAGGACCCAAGTTATCAAGCCGAAACCGAAAGCTGCTCTGCGTTGTAGTAGAAGAATCTTGAATCGCAGAAGCTACTGAATTGGGGACAATTAGTTGTGATTTTGGTCTGGTATTTTGTTGGAACAATTATATACAAGTAAATGGAGTTGGAATTGGCTTCAACGTTCTCACATTGCCCTATTTAGTCCAAAAAGTGAAAAAATAAGAACTCTATGGTGTCAGAAAATGGGATTTCTTGTTTTTATTTTTATATTTATCGTGTAATTTATTCCAAAAAATAGATATAATATAAAGATATAGAGAGGTATAGTGAGTACCTTAAAGGTAGAGGAAAGATGAGGGAGGTTTGGCCTAGTTCTTGAAGGGGAGGGGGAAGAGAGGGCTAATAGAGAAGACATTGAGACGATTGTAGCGGTGTCCGCTGAGTGTGAAGAAAATGAGAATCTGGTAGAGATGGGGTGGTTATCTTAATGTGTTATGTTTTCTTGCACTCGGCACTCCTAATTTGTATGAAAAAGAAAGGTGTTTTGGTACTGAAATTGCAATTTTTTTTTTTTTTAATATGGGTATTTTTTTTTTTTTTTTTACTATTTCTAACGTCAAATTTGACAAAAGTTGACGGATGGGGGCTTTTTCCCACAAAAATGATTCATATATGGAGGTTTTTTGTGATTTTCAATAAATAGGGGTTATATCGCAATTTAAAACGCTTATGGAGGGATTTTATGCTATTAATCCTTTTCTAATATATGTCCTAAGCTTTTATTTTGTAATTTTATAATTTTGACATTCTAATTCTTTAGAATTTAAAAAAATTATGCTAGATATATTGTGTTTGATAAATATTAGATTATTTTACTCATCTATGATATATTAAATATCATATCAAGTGATAATTATTTTTTGGACAATTTTAATAATACAATTCAATAATTTCAATAATACTTTACTTTTCGTTTTTCAATATATAACAAATACTACAAAATCCTTTTTATGTATGAATTTTATGTTATTAATTCTCAATTAATTAACATTCATATTAATTTAGACTCAATGAATCTCGATTCGATGAATTTTGATCTACATGAATCTAGAATATTATTCATGAATGTATTTCTATTCTTGTATCTAGGAATGTTAATTATTCATGTATTAGTAATTAATTCTTATGTACCAAATGTAGTATAAAAATATTACTCATTAATTTGTAGTATTGCATCATCACGAAAAATTTGAATTATAGAAGTTGATTTTTAAAGTACAACTTCGTTCTTTTAAATTTATATGTTAAATTTTACTTTCTTTAGTTCGTTTGCGACTCATCAAATTATCCCAACAAATTAGTATCAAATATTATTTTTACAATACTTATAAAGTATTTCAGAATAACAGGAAGCGAGAATCATTTTTTGGACCATTTTAACTATACTACAATTCATTTATTTTAATAATACTTTACTTTACTTTTTTTAATAATTCATTTATTTGAATAATACTTTACTTTACTTTTTTTAATATGTAATAAATACTACAAAATCTTTATCATCTATAAATTTTGTGTTATTAATTCTCAATTAATTAACGTTCATATTAATCTAGATTCAATGAATTTTGACTTGATGAATTTTGATCTACATAAATCTAGAGTTATTATTAATGAATTTATTTGTACTCTTGTATATAGAAATTTTAATGAGGGTTTAGATTCATGTATTTGCAATTCATTCTTATGTATCTAATGTAGTATAAAAATGTTGCAGATTTGTAGAATTTCATTATCACAAAAATTTGAATCATAGATATTGATTTTCTAGAGTATAAATTTTACCCAATTAAATTTATGTACTAAATTTTATTTTATTTAGTTCGTTTGAAACTCATCAAATCCTTCCAATAAATTAGTATCAAATATTACTTTTACAATATTTATAAAGTATTTCAGAATAACGTGCAATGGACGTTCAACTTTAATTACTCATTATAGAAGTGAAAGATATACTTCTGCTGCCACTGCTACTGATTATAATAATTATTATATAAAAACATAACAATCAATATCAATTTTAGTAATTGTATACAGGCGGAACAATAAATCACTTTGTTTACTAAATTCTCAATTTTGAAACAAGCAACAATTTGAAAACAAAAGTTTACCAATCTGATTTTTCATGCAATTGATAAATCAAGTTTAAGTTTTATTTTTAAAGTAAAACTCCTGTTATGATCTTCATCAACCCGAATTTTACTAGTCAAATCTAGTTTGAATCATGGTCAACAGGTTGGCTTTATTTGACTTTGACCCGTTAAGTGTTAAGTTCTCGACTTTTATTATGCATAAGCATGTGTTGGGAAATGTGCATCAACGATTTAGATTATAAATAGATAAAAATGAGTGATTGATAAATGAGTCGTATTTATGATTCTCAAGAAAGGTACGGAAGCAAAAGCTATTTGACAAATCATAAACAATTAATAAACATTAGCCAAATATCATGGTTTGTATTTCAAGCTATCAAAGGAACCTAGATACTCCAAGCTCCGATTATTAAGCCAGACTATTCGATCCTGATTGTCTGGTTCAATTATCAATCTGGGCTTACTCTTTTAAAGGCATAAGTCTATTATCTCTAATTACATAAAATCATAGAAATAATATTGTTTCAACTCTATCCAATTACTTTATCTTGACTTGCTATCTATGCGTCTTTTCCTGCTTAAATCGAATAATTA